GTGAGGGTGTGGGGGAGTCAGGGAGGTGGGAGGGCACCGAGACAGATCGATTAGTTAGATGGAAGACAGCCAGATCATAGATAGACAGATCATATATGGAGAAACCATGGCTACATAGAGAGCATAGTTGAATAATAGATCAGAGACACATTATATAGATAGTGATAGATCAATTAGATAGATAATCGATAGATAGAGCATAGAAAGATCATAGATTAGAGAGAGAGGAGAGAAAGAGAAGAAAGCCAGAGGGGTGATTAGCTAGAGCCAGGGAGACATGTGGAGGGTCAGGGGAGTAAAGCTAGAGAGGGATTTCAAGAGAGCAAATTCCATGGGAATATAGTTCCAGAAATCAAGAGAGCCAGACACAGAGAGGAAGACAAAAAGAGAAGCAGAGAAAAAAAACTAGACACTGAAAACCAGTAACAGAAACACAGAGGGGAAGACCCAGAGAGAGAGACAAAGACAGAGAGGCAGAGAGGGAGAGACAGAGAGAGAGAGACAGAGACAGAGAGACAAAGAGGGACAGAGACAGAAAGAGACAGAGACAGAGAGACAGAGAGAGACAAAGAGGGAGAGAGACAGAGAGAGAGGGAGAGACAGAGAGGGAGGGAGAGAGAGAGAGAGGGAGAGAGACAGAGACAGAGAGAGATCTGGGAGGGAAACAGAGAGTTACAGAGAAGGAGAGAAAGACACACAGAGAGAGAAAGACTGAGGGGAGAGACAGTGTCAGAGAGACAGAGGGAGAGAAGGAGACCCAGAGACAGAGGGAGACAGACAGAGGCAGTGAAGAGAGAGGCCCCAAGAGAGACAAGTGTGACTAGGCCCTCCTGAACAGTGGCAACTCTAGAATCCTGGGGTCAGCCTCACCGGGCCTTCATGTCCTTTGGACCCTGCTGGCCCCTTCCTAAGCCTGGCGACCCGTTCCTCCTTGCCTGGGGCCCCATGGGGCAGCTGGGGTGGGGAGAGGAGCCCGGATGGCTGGCCAGTGCTGGGAAGGGGGCACCCTGGAAGGGTTTGTCCTCACTCACAGACACTGGCCCGCCACAGCGTGGCCTCACAGGGGGCAGTGATCCCAGAACAACTTCCTGGCACAGATGGGGAAACTGAGGCCTGAGAGGGTGGGGACTCTCCAGCCTCTCTCTCTCCAGTCTTCAGACCCCACCCTGGACTCGTTCTTTCATTTCCGCTCCCGACATGGGAACCCCAAGGAGAGGGGGACCTCTGCATGGTGGCCTCTGCGTAGTGACCGCAGGGTCCCCCTCCCGGGCCCCGCACTCACCACCACGAAGAAGGTAGTGAAGAGGTAGACCATGGCCTCCATGTGGAAACGCCTCTTGGCTGCGATGCTGACGGCGGGCAGAAAGGCCAGGCTGCTGAGGGTTGGCAGGAGCAGCTTGGCCACCAGCGTCCCCATGTGCTGCGAAGAAGGTGCCGGCGGGGGGTGGGCGCAGGTTCCTGGGACCCCAGGCAGGAACGCGAAGGGACCAAGGCCGGCTCTCTCTCGGCAGGGACGGTGGTGGCAGCTGTAGGGGCGCCCACGAGAGGTTTACATGCCCAGGACGGAGGCAGGGAGGTGCACGCACATGTCGGAGGGCCCGACAGCTGACACACCATGTGACCAGCACTTGCCTCTCGATTTTTTTTTTTGGAGAGGCCAGAGGAGTTGACTCAAGGATGCCACGCTTCTTTTCTCTGAGGCAATGACCTTGGGGGAAAGTCCCCATAAGTACAGTTGCCGACTTCTACACCTTTTCTATCTTGATCTTCTTTCTGGAATTAGGAGACCAGAGGCGATACTCCCATCTCAGCCTCCCAAGTAGCTGGGACTACAGGCGCTCACCATCACCCTTGGCTAACTTTTTAATTTTTTTGTAGAGATGAGGGCTCGCTAGGTTGCGCAGGCTGGTCTCAAACCCCTGGGCTCAAGTGATCCTCCTGTCTTAGCCTCCTAGACTGCTGGGATTACAGGCATGAGCACCATGGTTGGCCTCTTCTTTTGGCAACAGCTCCTTGGTGAGCCTTCTGGAAATTACCTCCTTTGTTACAAGAAGTCTTGGGGGAACTGCCTGGCAGTGCGTGCCCATCTCCTGGTCAAGGAATGGTGGGCTTGCGATCTGAGCTACTCAGGCAGGTGTTCTCTCTTTGGATCGAGGGATCGACTGGTTGGCGGCAAGAGAATAGCTTTTACTTCCATATTTTTTTTCATGGTGATATAATTCACATAGGACAAAATGCACAGGTTTTATTTGTTTTATTTTTGAGACAGGGTCTTGCTCTGCCGCCCAGACTGGAGTGCAGTGGCAAGATCATGGCGGCCTCAGCCTCCTGGGCTCAGGTGATCAGGTGATCCTCATCCTCAGTCCCCCGAGTAGTTGGGACTACAGGTGTGCACTCCCACATTCAGGTAATTAATTTTATTTTATATTTTTTGTAGCGACAAGGCCTCCCTGTGTTGCTAAAGCTGGAGCCTCAGGCGATCCTCCGGCCTTGGCCTCCCAAAGTGCTGGGATGATAGGCGTGAGCCACTGTGCCTGGCCCACAAGTTTTAAACATATGGTCTGATACGTTTTGACAAATGCTCACGTCTGATGCTTCGTTTCATCACTCAGGACATGTCCTTGTGTCCCCTCCAGTGGGCTCCCCAGCAGAGGCAACCCCCGTTGGGATTTCGGCCCTGGACCCGACTGCCTGTTCTGGAACTCTTTTGGGTTTGACACCTTTTGCTTCACCGACGCCATGTCTGTGAGATTTGTCTGCGTCACGCCATTGGCCGGTTCCTTTGGCGGCCGGTAGTTGTCTTGCATCGTCTGGAGATTCTGCACCTTTGTTACCCTGGGAAATTGGAACCTGGGGTGTGGGGACAGTGTGACGGAGAAGTAGCCCTGCGGAAGCCTCCCACCAGTCCCTCTGCGGGCCAGGTCTGCATCTGAGGCCTGGCGGCTCCACCTTCCCTTCCAGCTGGGAGCTTATGCATACCTTTCCAGAGTCTCTTTTTTGTCTTAAGTCTACTGTTTGCAATGAAACGTTCGACTGGATCCATCTGGTCGGGTCATTCTTTTGCTAGAGGCATCCACAGCCCCAGGAGCGACCTCTAAGTGCTCACAGAGACCACCAGGCCGTCAGGGCCCAGACCTGCCCCCCAGCTAGCACACACCCCCAGGCCCTCCCCTCCAGACACCACTCCAGGGCTCTCCTCCTGGCCTCCCCACCTCCCCTG